CCAGACCACTTCATTAAGCTGAAGTGGTCTGGGTGCCTAGAGTGGTCCTTTAAGTGTGTGCATCTGCATGCACTGGCGTACATACCGCGGTCGCAGGGGTCGCAGCCCTGTAACCCCTGCGACCAGGTGCCCACCGCCATGTGTTGCGGCCCGGCCCGCGCGCGGGGGGGAGGGGTGGGGGCCACGGATCAATTTTCGCACCGGGGCCCCATGGGTCATGTGTACGCCACTGCATGTGGTGGATTTGGGGCCGGCACGGGGGCAGTTGCCCTGGGTGCAAAAGTTTAAAAAAAAATTAAATAGAAGAAAGTAGAATACATTTTAAAAAAAATAGCGCACTCACACAGAAAATCTCCCAATGTTCGAAAGTTCTATAAAGTTTTTCAAAATAACGGGGCAAATAAATGTTGCCACCTAACATTTTACAGTATTTTTCTTGCTAATTGCAGCCATACTGCTCTCATATAATCCTTATTAGTTAAGATTATTTTGCTTAATAACCCCTTAACGACACAGCTTCAAAAGGTTGTTTTACGCTTAAGGACAAGCCATTTTTGCATATTTTGTGGTTTGTGTTCAAACACAATTTTGTATCTCTGTCATTTATTGCACCAACACATATTATACATCGTTTTTTTTAGAGGGCAAACAGGTCTTTAATTTAATGTCACATATACATAGATACATTCTCATTAATTATAGAAATAATTGAAAAAAAATATATATATTTTTCCCTCCACAGCTTTGGCAACAATAATATGTGCATAAAATGGCCAGCTTAGAAAAAGTAATTCAATAGAAATTAATGTGGGGGGGCGGGGCCACGCCGCCGAGCCGCATGGCAGCAAACTACCAGACCTCAGCCCTAGCCGCAAAGAACGGCATTAAAACCGCATAAGCATGGCCCATAAAGCCGGACATCAGCACATAATCAGAAAGAGAAATATCTCAGCTCCGATTCGATACCGCACATGTACTTAACGTACCGGAAGCAGTGAAACCGACACAACCGGCCTATTAACCTCCACAAGCAGCTACATTGCATAAATGAGACCCGGCAACGAAGGATCACACTAAAAGGCACACATGCCGGAGACACACGCTTCTATGGAGGGTAGCTGGTGGGGGTAATCCCAGCCACGTGGGGACCGCACACGCTGAGGCGGGAGCTCCCGGCCGAAACCTGTGCCGCTCCCCTACACTGGCAGTGGCTATTACAATGGAAACCACCAGCAGTAAGAAGCGGAAGACGGTGGACCCGTGCATGGGGGGAGACCCCGGCGCCCACTGCTTGACCCATGGAGGTCAGGGCCGCGGACAGATTGCCCTGACGGCCCAGGAGCCGATGCCATGACCGCTCTACCTCCGGATGAGGAGGGCACCTGGAGGAACTTGTCCCCACCACTGTGAGCCCGGCGGAGCTGGGCGGAGCGCGCCTCTGGCGGACCGGTGACCTTGGGGCCGTGCAGCCCCTGCTCTGCAGAAGCGGCCGGCGATGGGAGAGACATACAGAGCGGACTGTGGACCTACCGGGGCACTGGAGGTACAGGGGAGGTGAAGGGGACACTGGGAGTGCGGACTCTTTGGGTGGGGGGGACCGCAAAAGCCCATGTTGCCCCCGAGTGCCCACCGGGCTGCGGTGCTAACAGAGGGCAGCATGCACCAGGCTGGGGGCCAGCTGGGACCTGGCAGCCGGGGAGACTGAGGAGTGCTGGATGCTCCCTGACCTACATGGGCGACCCGACCGCTTTGCACACTCACAAGGGCCGCACCCGACATCACTCCCACACAGTCAGCCAGATTATATAATCTTCAAACCAGCACAAAAATTCCGGATGGAATACATAAGTCTCAAACACCATACCTGGGACTTATACATTGGGCTATACTTATGGACGCTCCCTAGACACCAACCTCACAGCGACACCGAGAAACCGCATTGAGAGACACATGTAATTATTTACAATGGTCCAGGAGCGTTAATTTTAGTGGATCAGATGTACAGCACTACCGCTTACAAGGACATAGTCCACGCAGTTATGATTTATATGCATGTTTGATATAGACCATTTTCTTATTATTTTATACAGATTCTAGGTATGCTGCTTAGTTACCAGCAGATGTTGCATACACTATTTCGCTTACTGTATAGTCTGACTGCTGCAGCATATGAAGGATAAACGCATAAGCTAACACTGGCTAAATGTAGCTGATTTAATAATGCGATCAGAATCTGGATGTGAATATCGCAAGTAACATCTACATCCATCTTTGCCTGAGAACAAGGTTATTTTGTATTATGCACCTTTAATAGACTGGTATTGTGTCTGTGGACTCATTTTTAAATTCTATTTTTAAATATTTTGGAATAAATTTTACTTTTTATACTCTCCGTTGTTTTCCAGCGATATTTTTATATTGCACACAGCAACCAGTGTATGGTACTGGCTTTGCTTGATCTTAGCAAGTATTATACTTGCGTGATAATAGTCAGTGTTATTTTAAGCACATCTATAACATTTGGCTATTAATCTTTCATTCTATTTGGAAGTATAAAAATTGTGAAGAGGTGGTATTTACCCTGGGATGCTCCATTTTCCAGAGTTAAGGACACCCATGCCATACAGTTATCTTTAACAATAGACACTCAAGATATCCATCTATATGTTTTAATCATATTTATTCACCTCTAAATATTTTATCATCTATAATACTTGCTACTATCTTATAGTACTAAGCATACTATTTATAATATGTGTACACCTATTTCATAGCATACCTATTGTGCAATTAAGACACGGTCATAATGCGAATAGCTATGATTTACTATCGCCTCACGATGCCTGACTAAAGCACCGCTTCCGCCATATATGCTTATGCCCCTGCGTGGGTGAAAACCTGTTTTGTCACAAATCAGTTTGATATACGCACATATATTGTGAAACCAATAAAAATATTCAAAACAAAGAAATTAATGTGTCTTGATTTATAGAGTACAACATATGCATCGGATTTCAGCTTATTTTGAAAGTTACAGGTCACAAAATACAAGGACTAAAATAAAATTTCAATTTGCAACAATTTTAGAAGTTGGTATATAGGTTCTTGTAGATTTAGTAGCCCTCATAGAAAACATTGCCACACAAAAGTATATATTTATATAAAGTAGACATCACAGGCTATTTAACAAAGGTTAGTTTGACACTTTTTACGTAGCCATTTTATCGCCAATCTCTGCTAAATATTGGAGTAAAATTGTGTTTCTTTATTTTAGCATATACACATATAACAAGGTTTTTGTAAAGTATTTTGTGAAGCTGGTGTGTGCTATTCCTGCACAGAACTCCATATTGTGTTCAGCTACATCTGCTGAGTATAACAATACCCCCATTGTATGCCTTTGGCACTTTTCCGTAAAGCTACAATGCCATATAAGAGACAAGGCTATTTCAGTTTCTATAGTTAGAATTTTCGTAGATGGATAAGATGGGCCCATGTCTCATTTTAGGGTATTATAGCAGTGTGATTGTTCAAATAACCCCACAAAGGGCTTTCACTTGATAAAGCAGACACCCCAGGGTATCTTATATGGTGTATATTGTGCCTTAACGTGTCACAATTTTTCCACCAATTTATGTCAACGTTTGTGGTGGTGGGGGGAGGGGGAAATTGCATTTTTACATATATGTTGCATTTTTACTGAGTATTTCTTGCACTTAATATGCAGGGCCGGACTGGGAATGAAAAGCAGCCCTGGAAAAAAATTCCATACCAGCCCCGTAATGCATCGCGCCAGCATAGTGCGCAGATATGGAAGCGGGAAAAAAAACTGAAAACTAGCACTCAAACATGAAAGAAAGCACTTAGAGGGCTTCAAAATAAAGCAGAGCAGATTTATTGTAAGCAGACGCAGACTTGCATTTGCATATAATCCAGTAGCCCCCACATATGTCCTATTAGCCCTCTCTCCCAGTCCTCCATGTGTCCCTATGCCCCCTCCCCACCATCCATGTGTCTAGGGTGACCAGATTTTGAAAATATAAAAATTGGACACCCATTAGCGATACAAAAAATAAATAAAAAATAATCGCTAAAAAAAAACCAAAACAAAACAGAGAAATACATAAGTTTTTAATCTCTTCTTGGCCAGAAGTGGCTGTTACAGCTCATCCCCTTCCTGGTACTCAAATGAGTGTCTTTTCATTTACATTTTGTAGGAGCATGATCATCAGAGCACACACATACCCTAGACCATGGCCATCGTAACAGCATAATAGTCCACTGGGCAAACCAATGCACTGGGGCACTGACTATGCAACCACTCAAAGAAATAAAAATATAAATTATCAATAAAATAAGGCTTATATTTATTGGTACCTCCAACAAATACAATACTTACACACAGAGACAGACTGCTAAATACACAAAAAACGCAAAAAACACACACAGACTGCTGAATATATACACTGGCTGCTGAATACACACATATAGAGACTGCGGAATATACACACAGATTGGTGATTACACGTGCACAGACTGGTGAACATGCACAGACTGGTGAATACACGCACACACACACAGACTACAGTGAGGGGTGCAGTGTGTGTGTTCAGTGTGTGGGGAGTGCAGTGTGTGTAGGGGTTCAGTGTGTATTTGGAGGGGTGCAGTGTGCGCGTGGAGGGGTTCTGTGTGCGCGTGGAGGGGTTCTGTGAGCGCGTGGAGGGGTTCTGTGAGCGCGTGGAGGGGTTCTGTGAGCGCGTGGAGGGGTGCTGTTGGTGGGGGGGGGACGGGGTGCCTTTGGTGGGGGAGAAGGGGTGCCTTTAGTGGGGGGAGAAGGGGTGCCTTTGGTGGGGAGAAGGGGTGCCTTTGGTGGGGGAGAAGGGGTGCCTTTGGTGGGGGGGATATGTAGTGTGTATGGGCATTGATATATTGAAAAAAAAAAAGCTTCATTTTACCCCCCACCCACCTTACTTTTGGTCAGGGGAGAGGGGGGACCGCTACTCTTCGATCCCTGGTGGTCCAGTGGTGGCGCGTGCTGTTCAGCCTGCAGGCTGACTTTGCTCTCCTCCCGCGAGAACAGCAGGCAGGTCGGAGCATTGCCATGGTAACCTGCCTGCTCGCAGGAGGAGCGTTCTCGCTTCCTGCTTCCTGTCAGACCGGGTAGGGGAACAGAAGCTCCCCTACTGTGGTCTGCCTGCTCGGCCACGCTACATTCTGTGACCGGCAGGAGGGGAGCGCATCCCCTCCTGCCGGTCACCCTGTAATTGCAGCCCGGGCTGGTGCACACTAGGCGGCCGTGCACCGGCCCCCTAGTGTGCCGGCCCACCGGGAAATTTCCCAGTATCCCGGTGGGCCAGTCCGGCCCTGTTAATATGTACCACTGTCATAAAAATTCCAAAATTATGCTCAGTTACATCTTCTGAGTAAAACAATATGCCCAATGTATGACCTAGGCACTATTTTGTGAAGGTCCAGTGCTGTAAAAGAGACGTGACAAGTTCAGGTTTTTAAGTGTGAATTTCCATGGAGGGTTTTGATGCGTCCGTGTCCCACTTTGGAGCACTTAAGCAGGCTACATATAACAACTACACCATAAAGGCATACCATTTCTTAAAGAAGACATCCCAGGGTATTTCAAAAGGCATATTTTGAACCTTAGCGTGGGATAATTTTTCCGCTAGCTTCTACCAAGTGTAGTGATAATAAGCATCTTTTCAGCCTTTTTGACACACAAAGTGAGTTTGCACAGTATATTTTACAAACCTTATGCGTGCTACAACTGTATAATACTTCATATGTTTCTCAGCTATGTCGCCTGAGTAAAGCAATACCCCCATATGTACCTTTGCCAGGTATACGTGGATGTTGAAGGGGCACATTTGAGACGCAGTCATTCAGCTTTTTTCTAACTTGGAAGTTTTACGCTGTGAACATGTTCCATTTTGGAGTAGTTTAGCTGGTTGGTTATTCAAACTTCCCCACAAACACATACGATTTATTAAAGAATACACCCTGGGGTAATTCAAAAGGCATATTTTGAATGTTAACGTGGGATAATTTTTTTCTCTAGTTTGTTCCAGGGTAATGAGCATTTTTAAATGTATATTTTTTTACTTTTTTAAACTTGTTTTTAAACTTTGTTTGCTTTTTTTTTTAACTTTCCTAAACTTTCTTAAAAAAAAAAAAAACAACCTTTTTTTGTTTTTACAAACTTTACCATTAACCCCTAACTAGCAGTTTGTAGCACTAATTGTAAATTCCCCAATTTCCCATAACTCCCACCCACCCCAGCTAGCAAAACATATTTTAAAATATTGAAAAATTAATTAAATAAATTGAACCCCTGAGGGTTAAAAAAAATATAAATAAAAAAGTTAACCCTATGGGGTTAAAAAATAAACACAAATTGGATCACAGTAAAAATTAGGACTGGGTAAAGGCGGGGGAATTTTTTGTAACTAACTTTTTTTAACTGTTAAAAAAAAAAGTTTAAAAAAAGTTAACCCCTAGCTAGCCAAAATTCCCCACTTCCAAACTTCCACCCACCCCAGCTAGCCAAATATATCATTTTAATATATTTCCATTAATTAATAAAATTTAATACAGAGGCAGACTGGAGGAGCGATCATAACGATCTGGGGTTAACTTTACCGCATGATGGACCCGGCCCATCATCCGCCGTTAACTGCTTCCCCACCATGACGGACTAGGTCCATCATGCGGCGGGAAGGGGGTTAAGGACGGAGTCAATTGTACACGTTCTGATCAAAACAAAACGTAAACAAAACCTGTAATTTGCTTTGTATGTTAGTTTAACCATAATTTACCTTATTCATATTAAGTGCATCCACACTTATTAAATATAATTTTGTTTAGGAGAAACTGGGCTTTTATATCATATATTTAAAACATAATTTAATATGAATACAATTTAGAGAACTTTGAGAAATTAAGACATTGTTATTTTCCAAATTCTGCATGGCATTTTAACTGTGAATGTCATAATACTGTTTGCTTTTGCTGCAATAAAATACACATATTTGTGTTCAGCGATGTCTTAAGAGTTCAACAGTACCCCTCCTCTCCACCCCCACCCATGTACAGGTTTTGTGCAGTTTTGAAAACTTACAGGGTCAGATATAGGGCTTGCCTATTAATTTTTTTATACATTGAAATTTGCCCCCATCATGGCATACCATTTGCAAAAGTAGACAATCCAGGGTATTCCTAATGGGATAGGTCTAGTCTTTTTTTAGTAGTCACAAACCGTGGCCAAACTTAACGTTCATATTAGTTTTCCCATTAAAAATAAAATAAAATGCCCTTTCACTGATGATATTAATGTCATAAGTTTTACTGCTCTAAAACGCTCATATTTGTATTCAGCGATGTCTCACAAGTAAAACAGTACCCCTCCTGTTAAGGTTTTATGGGCTTTTGGAAAGTTACAGGGTCAAATATAGATTTTTCCCATTTCTGTTTGCCAGATTGGTTAGGTGATCTATGCTGCATTTGAGACAATAATGGCAGCCCAGGAATGAGAAGTAGCTCATCATGGCATACCATTCATAAAACTATGCAACCCAGGGTATTAAGAATTGGGGAAGTCTGGTCTTTTATAGTAGCCACAAATCCTAGCCAAAGTTAGGTTTCCTATTTTTTTTTTTTTTGCATTTTTCACACAAAAACTGCGCTTTTACTGGTGATGTCATCATCATCATCATTACATGTTTTAGAGTTCTAAAACACTCATATTTATGTTTAACGTAGTCTCACGAATATAACAGTACCCCATATGTACAGGTTTTATGGTGTTTTGGAAAGTTACAGGGTTAAATATAGGGCTTGTAAACTAAATTCGCTGGACTTTCTGCCTGAGTTGTCAGGCAGGTCCCTTGAATTATAAGTAGTAAAAATAGTAGATAAATATACACGTTGTATATAACATACATACATACATTATATATATATATATATATATATATATATATATATATATATATATATATATATATATATATATATACACACACACACACACACACACATCACATTGACATTGTGGCAGGCTTATGCAATGTATGATCATATAATGTAACTAAACCCCAATTATTTTTGCCTAGATTAGGTGTTTAAAAAAAAAAAAAAAATTAAATTTATTCACCAAGTTAAAATAGCCAAAACTACAACTAAATTTACAATTCTCATATTCACTAAAAGCAAATACAGTTGTAATCCAGTCATTTTAACAGAATGATTAGTACTACCCAGGTTCAGCTTTAAAAATGTTGAATTTTCACATGCAAATACTAAATAAGACATAGGTTTTGAATATTTATGAAACCAGAAATATCAGATGGATTCACTCTTAACAAATCCAGCAGTAATCAAAGTACTGGGGGGCAGGGCCTGAGCCTGACCCAAGATGGTAGGATGTTTTTGTTAATAGCTCCAGATACCCAGAGCCATTAACCCGATTTAAAACAGCTCATTCTATTTTGGAAGCTGACCAGAACGTACAGCAGACAGGCTACCAGCCTGGGAACTTATCCCAGACTCTAGACTGTGACACTTTGGTGAGAAATCCTAACATCCAGACTTAGTCTGCTGGCTTGTCAGCTCAGGGAGGCGGCCAATCTCCTGACTGTGGTAATATGGCTACCAGCGACTTCTACACGGCCCCCCTCTGAACCAGTGGGGGATATCCCGGTTTCCGCTGGGGTAAGTTACCGCTATGCCTCAGCAGACCTTTGAAACGAGCCTGCCCAATTTCTACGTATCAAGGCCAAGATGGAAAGCTATTCCAAGTTTTCTGGGACTCCGTTCACAGGCGAGCACACTTACCTGCCTCAATTGTCCTACTGCTGCCTCCAGGACTGCCCCGGCTCGCTGTTCCTTTTTAGCGCTTAAGGCCCACTGTTATTATTAGTTGACTCATATTACAATTTGCAGCCAGACCAGTTTATCAGTCCATATATCAGGGCATATCTATCACAGGGAACTAAACACGTTAAGCACGATGGTGTAGAAAACCAAGCTATTTAGAAGCATGGTTTCCATCTATTTGCACTTAAATTTATTTATTTTCATCCCTTTGACTATCTAGTAAGATCAAAAGGGAGCAAGGCTTTGTCTATATCTAACTCCTTTCAACGATCTGTTTAAATTATAGGTTGAATAACTTTGAACTGATATTTAAAGGACCACTATAGTGCCCTGAGGGTGCCCCCACCTTCAGGGTCCCCCTCCCGCCGGGCTCTAGGGTGAGGAAGGGGTTAAATTTAACTCTTTCTCCAGCACCGGGCGGGGAGATCTCCTCCTCCTCTCCTCGGCTGAATGCGCATGTGCGGCAAGAGCTGCGTGCGCATTCAGCCAGTCTCATAGGAAAGCATTATCAATGCTTTCCTATGGACGCTGGCGTCTTCTCACTGTGATTTTCACAGTGAGAAGCACACAGCGCCTCTAGCGGCTGTCAATAAGACAGCCACTAGAGACTGGATTAACCGTAATATAAACATAGCAGTTTCTCTGAATCTGCTATGTTTATAGAAAAAAGGGATAACCCTAGCTGGACCTGGCACCCAGACCACTTCATTAAGCTGAAGTGGTCTGGGTCCCTATAGTGGTCCTTTAAGAGCCAAGAGGCTTATTTATGATTTATTAAAAAAAAATTAAAATTTGTTTCAATATACTGGGGCAATCAGTAGCGATCCAAAGTGAGCATCGGAAATATATTTAATTTGATCCTAACTTTAATTCTATTCTTATGAACTAAATGTGCAGCTACAGATTCTGTGCAAGAGCACAATCATTGTAATAGCTCAACCTTTAATACTCTGTTTCAATACTGGAGACACTTGTAGAGATTTTTAAGCGAGCATTGAAATTCTATCAATTAATTCCATGATTAGTTTATTCCAACAAACCAGATGTGAGGCTGCAGATTCTACGTAAGGGCTTAATTATCACATTGGCTTTGCTTACTTTAACACAGTGCATATTTGACTGCAGATTTGGAAAAGTTATCTATTTCTACATTAGCTCTATTAACGATTAAATTGCTAACCTTTATATCAGTTTGAATGCAAAGGAGATACATCAGATTTTGAAAGCAGATATCATACTCCCCCCCCCCACCTTGTTTTGTGTGTGTGTGTGTGTATATATATCTATCTATCTATCTATCTATCTCTCTATCCATCCCTCTAC